TTCAACTATTAACCCATTCCTTTATAATAACGTGTCAGACTCGCGATGAAAACTTTTAATTGAATTCGACAAGTCTAAATGTTAGTTATTTATTTTCAACATAAATTAAATATTACTTGATTATTATCAATCTTTAACATTTATAGTAAACATAGACAGATAGTAGGTATAAAATTCGTTTCTTTTTCTACTAAATTATTAACGATAAAGTTGTTTTATCAAATGGTAACAACAGTTGAGAAATAAATCATGGGATAAAGGGTTAAGCAACTACAAGATTAAATGTGTTCTATATACTATAGAAACCTAATAGGAATAGAAGTAGTGATTAAATCATATTTTTATTTGAATTTACGTGGTACAGATTGAAGAGTACAGTCACATTACTCTGGATTTGGCAAGTGAAAATAATGTACCGAATCTTAAATTTTCAAGAGCTTGCAACGCAGAACCAGTTGACTGGACCAACCATTTCACGCGTCCTGGTAACTATGAATTGTGGAACGGGCCGTGAATAATCCGGACAATCTAATCTTTTGCCAGAAGGTAGTAGCAAAAAATCTCATAAAACACGGTTACATGAGTTACGATCATCGAACCGTCCCTCCGGTTTCATATATACATATCTAATTTTCATGCATAAATTTGTTCGAAAAAATAACTTACACGTATTAGAATAACACGAGCTATTCTTCCGGGGATTTATAGTTACGTTCCTGACCACATTCCTCTGGTGAAAAATTGCCTCGAATATCACGGATCCTCCACAGCTTTATCAGCTTACAGAATAATTTTCATTGCAACCATTTTTTGCAACGGAAAAATGTCTTGATTCTTAATTTGGTATTTTCCAAAACTACTTACACTGGTCTATTAAAGTATTTACTTATGGATATCTTAACTGTGTGTTACTCGATTTCAATGAAATGTGTACACATTATTCTCACGTATATTCCAGGTGCCATGTGTATGGAAATTTAAAAATATTTTCTATATTTTTCTACCTTTTGAAATTTTCATTTAACCCTTTGCGGACGAAGATTCTTTGAAATACAAAAAGAGCTCCAGTAGGTGAAGTTAAATTATATATTAATTGCTTAAATAATAGGAAAAACAGAAATTATGTGCTGATCTCTTGCTGTTTAAGTAATTAAATCATTTGTTTGCCACGTAGGCTTCGAAACATGAACATTTCATCTCGCCGAAATGACGGCATTCGTCCGCAAGGGGTTAAAATTATTTTCCAAGTTTAATCGTGTATTCTGAATTGACTTTTGGACTTTTCCAATAACGATTATAAAATTAATTATAGGAAACATCGAAAATTCAATTGAGGAAAAATGATTAAATTGAAATAATAATTTTTCATGAAAATTTCAAAAGGTGTCTTTTGACGGTAGAAATAGTGTTAAATATTTTATTCGACCAATGTACTTCTTTTCTTATTGTAAATATTAATGATGATAAATATTGTCATTCATCAATCATTCTAGGGAACATTATTCTGATGTAATTTATTGAATAAAAAATAATTGTTGACATGGTAAGGATGAAATTCAATTAATATTTTGATAACAATACATTTATCGCAAACATTCTAACGATTCGTTCCAGCGCGTAAAACATAAATCTTATAGTCTGTTGCTGGTGCTTTTCGCATGGTTGTAGATTAATTAAAACAGATATACCGATGAAGATAGTGATACTGTCACTTGAAATATGTAATCTTTTACAGTATAACATTATTGTGTACACCTAGCTGATAATAGTTAGAGAAATTGTTATCAAAAGTTTGTCAAATAATAATACACGCTATTTTGCGAAGTCATGTGTTTAAGACGCAACTTCTGGCTGCTTTGTTGATGTGACTTTGTAAAAATATAGTATAGTTGTCAAGTCGCAAATTCAACTTTTAAAAGCTGGTGACTGTTTATAAATATCAAATCTAATAGTTTTCCCAAAATGTTTTACACAAAAAGTTAAATTAAAGATAAATTAACAATAAATTATTAAACATCTTCTGAAAATACATAAGAACGCAAAAAACACCGATACCATTTTAAACTGATCTTTAGACTTTTGGAAGACCTAATGACCTAATTCAAGAAAATTTCATATTTTTTACCTACACTTTTGTGCATCACATTACATTGATTTTCTTTAGCACAATTTTATTTAACGCGTACTGTTCAATTTTAAGGAATCTTTAAATGTTTTCTTCTACATGAAAATAAGTAAATTCCAGATTTCACTTTTTTAGCGACCGTCGCTAACACGGTTTAGGGCACGAACGTGCGTGAAGGGCTATTTTAGAGATTTAGGATTTTTAGGTTTTTAGTAAGCATGTGTTTTTAGAGTGTAATATACTTCCTGGCGAGAGAAGACAATTTATGAGTTAAAAACTGCGAGGTTTAGAAAGTCGCTTCTCTCGTCCCTCAGTAGCCGTGGCCGTGCCATAAACAGGGAAATTCCAAAGGGTAGTTGGACACGTGCATGTAACAGTAAAGATACCGAAGGTCCGCCACCTGGACGAATTTCCACCAGCGTTGTCTTCGCCCCCACACGAGCACCGCGGCACCCCTCCCCAAGTGAGCGCGCTAAGGGCGCAAGGAAGAGTGTCTGCGTTAAGTTAGGTCCGCGGATTAGTGACTGCCAAAATGAGAAGAACCAATCAGCGGACAATTTAGAAAATAGGGACTTGGCGATCAAGAGTGAAGATCGCCAAAGTCAGTCGCTCAAACACGAGCAGTTAGTTAGCAAATACCGGAACAACATAGTATCTTAGACCATTAGCGAGCGGGTTAACCATTCTGGTCCTTCGAGAAGGTGCTAACTAGAAACCAGGTCAGAGTGCATTTGGAGGTACGCGTGTACACCGTGCGCTAACACACTTAGAATCAATATCAGAAACAAAAAAGTATGATGTTCCATGTTAAACGGAATATTAATAAAAGTCAAAAATACCTTTCATATTTTATTGTTACATTTCCTTCAAAAAAATTCAAATTGAAAGTACGTATTTTTGTAGTATTTTGACAGACGAAGTAGCATTATCAAATTAACTATTAAATATAATCGCGAGTCGTCTTGAAATTCACAAAAAGCAGCAGTCACTAATACAATCTTACTAGTTTGTTCGTCGAAGAGTTCAACTACCTTTATTCAATAATCCTTTGACCAGCAAAAAGAATATCTGATATAAACCGCAAATTATAATTGTCAAGGATATCCTAGCGAATAAACATCATTCATATATACCGAAGACTGGTGCACTTTGTTCAATGACATTGTGGAGAGGCAGGCGGTATCCAAGTGCACTTCCGATGCATCCCCTGCAGTTTGCTACAGACAGGTGACGATCCATTGTGCCGGTAAAATATTGACACTCGATATTTTCCTGCACTCACCGCGGGGAGGGAAAAACGTTTACACGTGAGCCCATTTCCATGATGGAGGTCCATGCTTTTTGCCTCGGGTCTAGCCGTTGCTTTCATCGATATTAATTTCCCCCTGTTATCCTTTTAGGTGCGAGTGCGCAGACAGCAATTATTTTAATTTCCTACTGTTTATCACCGGCGGTGCTTTTAAGTCCTCTTCGGCCAGGATTTCATCGACAAGCTGGTATCAAAGTTTCTTATGTGAACGTTGTTCCCTGAGTGACAACAATAATGCGCTTAACGGATGAGTACCGTTCGAGTGGTTGTTCAATATTCATCACGCTAAAATTAAGCAGGGTGTTACGGGAGTGTGTTATAATGGAACTAGACAATATGTTCCAACTAAAAAGAGGACTCGACAAAAAGGGTACGTTTCAGTAGCTTTCTAATTTTATTTGTCCAATTATATAGGTTCTTTAGTCAGGAGACCTGTATAGCTGTACTTCTGGCGTGGACAAAATCGCAAAAATATATTCAGGAAACTGCAGCAATAGAAAGTATTCAGGAAAAGGGCAATCTTTTGTATGACCTTGACATATATTGTTAATTGTTCATTGTTCTGTGTACTTAACACAAATTTTTCGGTAGTGACAATTTGTTTAAGAGTTATGAAACATTAACATTTTGCTTTACGCTCAAAGTTTTTATCTCTATCTTTATTTATTGATGATCTTTAGTAGAATATATAAAAATGAGTTTCATTTAGGTACTAGAGACTGACATTAGTTACTCCTTTATCGCCCACAGTATTACTTCATAATTGACGAAAATCCTTTAAATGATGGGATTATGATATAAAATATGTTATAATAATATATTATATAACATTTTTGGCAATTATGAGCCGATAATATGGTCGGAGTTGCCAATCTGTATTATCTAAATGAAACTCATTTTTATATATTATACGAAACATTAAAAAATGAAGAAAAACATATAATACGACACATACTTTTGCGTATTAACTCAAAGACTAAAATAGACTGCTTATTATACGTATAGAAAGAAGCTATTCAGAATAACACATTTCAAGGTTATCTTCATCAACGAGAAGATCAATCACCCATTTTTCCACCGACGTAATATTTTGCTCTAAAAGAATAAAACAAAAATTTCCGAGTAGTCAACTCGTCGTTTTACTTTCACGTTATAATCTTATAATCTCAATTATTCAACGATAAACATTTCAAAGTGCTTAGTATTTACATTACAGAAACAAGCCGTTGCTTATGAAATTTTTCTCGAGTAAGTCTGTGGAATTACTGTATCGCGTTATGCATTTTCATCAAAACGACCTATTTGCATATTGTACGTGTCTACATAAGTATGAACATTAAATATGAAATCTTCCTAACCGTAAAACGATGTGGTATATTTATCCTACGTGAAAGGAATAATATCCTCGTTAGTTTTTGTACTATAAACTCCGCTACGAGTGGGGATTATTAAACACATACATATAAGACAAAGGCTTTAAAAGGCAGACACAGAAGCAAATTTGCGAAGATTATAAGGGATTTAGGGCTCATCCAATCAAGTATCGTGTTTAATTATTTTACTCACAGTCTGATTCCCCAAATTCTTCACCCGGCAATTCAAATATGTGGTCTGACCCGCGAGGACGGTCACGTTTTTCGAAGTGGAGTGGTCAAAGTACGGACCGGACCGTGTGCTACTTTCGTCTATACTATTAGCACTTTTTCCGTTGCTTCCGTGCAACATGCTGTAGCAGTGTCCCCCTGGAAAATAGAAGAGAAATATTAATTAAATTATGTATTATTTTCGATACTTGTATATTCCTTGAAATTCAAAAGTTACTAGTAATGGTGTGTATCAAAAGCCACATCTTATCGACCTTAGGTTTTGATTTTGTTTGCGTTTTGTTCAATCCCTTGCTTTACATTATCATGTTGGTCTAAAAACGAAAGATTCAAGCAGAAATTAACAAATATAAATGTCACTTCATTCTTTCAAGTACAAATTAAATATTACTTTTCTATTATCGGTTGTACTTTAGAGTAAACGTGAACGTAGAATGATCGTGGGATTTTTTCTTCTTCTAATGAATTATTAACAATAAAATATTTCTGTTGAGTATAGTTGTAAAAGAAGTCATAGTGCAAGAGGTTAATGAAAGAATCATAAACACTATACAGTATTATTATCAATAAAAATTGGAAAAGTCGCAGTTGTTATGTGCAAAATGTAATTACTATATATACTTATATATTAAAATCCTACTGATGCTGAAATAAAAATTACAACTGTACAATATAATTTAAACCTATCGGAAACCTAAAATCAAACTGTGAAATTTCAGAAAGAAGTTAAATAAATCAAATTGTGCAGAATATGAGAATGAGACTTTGAAAGCATATGAGAAAATCATAATCAGTGAGGCATGACCCTTGCAACGTAATTATCAAATCATTCGGAGTTTGTATTCACATAACGCGTTCTGACGTACGTGCTGACCTAATTGTAAGTTCTTCTCGAAGGTACAACTCGCTAGTGGATACAGATTGAGACTCGTTTCCTATGCTGTTTCAAAATAAATGTAGCTTTTAATCTCGAAAGTGTAATAAACTTGTATAAGCTCACATTTAATCTTTATATTAGCAACTGGGTAAATACCCGAGTACCTAATCTGTTATTTTTAATTACAGTTTGTCCTGTTCTCGTAAAAATCTGATAGTTTTTTGTCAATATACCCGCTGCTGTTTATTAAAAATACAAAAATGCTCCTGACTGCTTAAGATTTTTAAAATTTTTTCCTTCACAAAATGTCGGACATCGTTATTCATGATTTAAAAGAGATAAGAGGGATACGAATAACATAAGAAGGTTTCCTTGAAAAAATATAGTAAAATATTTTTCATGTTATATGCTTATAACAAGAGTTATATAATGTTTATGTAATATTATTATTTCTTATGTAATATATTTATGACGTGGGTAGGCAGAATGTGTACCATTCGGGACGAAAGGATTAAACCTTTACACTTATTTATGCTTATGATATTCGTGATTACAATTTTAATTGTCAGATACTAAAAGAACATTAAAGTTTAATCAATCATAAACGTTTCTCGATATTCACAAAATTAGCTGATAGATTTATTATCAAATATTCGTAAAATCAACGCTTTTGAAGATACCTTAAAATATTAGAGTCGTTCATTAAAAGAAAAAAAGGAGAAGTTGTTAAAATATAAAAGGATAATATAGAATTGATATTTTTATAACCATTAACTTGATTGTTTTGGGAACTTTCGTATTATAAACCTACGTTTATACTAAAGTATAGCCTTTAACAATGATTGTGATAAAAGAGACTCGCTACTTCATGAAGTTTCTTAGATGCTTTAGAAATTCTCCAGTTCAATTCAGTTAGTCCCGCCTGTTTTGCTCTTGAGAGGGTTAAACAATTTCGTAAGAAATTTTAGTTTATCTCTGGGTATACTATTCATTGTCGCACTGTCTCTTCGCGCATATCGCGAAGACGCATAAAGGGGAAGGCGCGCATGGCGAGACAACGCAGTTTTTCTGCCAGTACAGCTTGCGTATTCGATTAAAATGTCAGCGAAGGAGCTCGGCAGCTCGCAGTTCAGGTGATAAATGACCGTGTTTTTATCTGTGTATAGTGCACGTATAAGTGAACAAGTGAACTTCCCTGGCGAATCTGTTCAAGCAGCGCTCTATGCAGGGAACGGACAAAGCCCTTTGATCGCAACAATCGCTGGCATCGTCTATTGTTCCACGGACAGAGACCGTCGCGACGTATACTCGATTCGAATGACTCGTTTATCTAACGAGTTCACTGATGAATTTCTTAATGTTCGCCGATAGGAAGATAAATTGGATTGATAGCGCACTGCCACTGCAGTTTGCGCAACAGGACGTCTAAGTTTTAAAACTCGATTAGCGGGGTGCTGCTGAAAGCACAGCAATCGTTTCACTGGTTTCTTAGTAATTATGATGCTTCTTTATACTTGTAAATTAACAACACTCTCATTGTAATATACTAATTATGATTTTAATTTATAGCATCTCTACTGTGTAATCGTATTTCCTTAAAGTCGTATTACTATGCTTAAAGTATTCATACTGTTATCGAAGATTTTTATCGAAAATGGTGCACTGGTAACATGAAAAATGGAAGATTATTGTTTTCTATATCAACATAATAGCGTTTGTCAATTGTTTATGTTTCTAATAGTAATCAGAAAACAAAAGTTACTGAAACATTTCTTGCATCGAAAGAGGCTAATTTTATTGTATCAGAAATCAACTACTTGATACATAAGTGGGAAACCTTACTAATAGAAGAAATATCTTTATATTCCTTTATAATATTTTTATATTTCTTTATTATTAAAACTAAAGATAAACAAAATTGTTTTTAGTGTAAAACATATTCTCCTCCATTATCTGTAAACTATCTATACATTATAATTCATTTTTAACAAATTTTGTTTATCTTTATTTTTGAAAATAAAAGAAGTGTCAAAACTGCATTATTTATGGGATGACCCGAAATAATAAAATTTCCATGGAACGCAGTAATTACTTATGACTTCATTTGAATTGCTTATGAAGCTAATAAAAGAAAGGAAGAGCGAAGAATGAAAAGAGAAAAGAGGGAACGGAGCAGAATCACTCTCTAATGAAAGAATCATAAACTGTCGCTCTACAAACATGTTACGATCTGAAATGACCCATCAACAAGAAGTGAATATTATGCAATCGAACAATCACAAAGTTTCAATTACCTCCGTTCGAACTTCGCAGTTCTTCGCTTCATTTATAACAGTAGAAAGTCCGAAGTGAAACCGATACGTACATAATTCTCCTTGCCAATGCTGTTTTCGACTATCATCAATTTTCTCGCGCGATGCTTCATCTGAGAATGTCAAGAAAAGATTTCCGTTAAAGCGTCTCGCAAGTGTTTCCTCGTCCGTCTGGGATTCAGCGTCTAACTATTCTCAGTTTCAGCGGAGTTGTAGAGCGAACTTCGGGAACGAGCACGAAACGTAAGCGGGCGAACTTCGATCGAAAGAAGTACCAGCGATTCCGCTGGTGCCACGAACAATTACGGAACTTGTTTATTATTTCAGCACGACTCCTCCTGCGCCCTATCGCTGTACAGGGTATCCCAGAATTTACTGGTCAAACGTTGTCGATATTAACACATTGTTGACCGATCACGAGTTAACTCGTGTTTACATGCCAAAACGTTGTTGACCAGTACAAGTTAACGCGTGTTTGCACTTGCGTCCAATATTTCAATTTTTGTAATGTAGGGCAATATAGAATATTGCAAAAGGAAAATATTAAAAGTTATATAAAAAATATGTTCGAAGTTTCATTTCAATTCCTTGTGTGTAATAAAATATATTGAAGTTTGTTTAGATTGTTTCACTTTTATATTTAATTACGAAATAATGAGTGACATGGGATAGGTCCTGCGTGAAATTGCTGGTCAACAATGAGATTAACCCTCTGCACTCGAGAAGTGATTCTCAGTCTCCACTTAATTTGATACAGTAAAACTATATACTGTGAGTCACAAGAGGATTCGTACCTGCTGAACAGCCGACTTTGAACCATTGATATTTGTTTACAATACAAGTTTCAAAGTCCTTGCCAACAGGAATATACGTCGAAATTACGAAGTTTTCAAACTTATATAAACTTAATTGCAAAACAACATGTCAATATAATAAGAAAGTAATTTTACGTTGACCGGAACAAAAAATAGAATATGCCTCCTCGTGTGGTATTTCGTTAATTGTCCTGGAAGCCGTATAAAAGGTTGAAAATATTTGTCTATTTTTAGTTAGGAGCACGATTAACCGCGTCGGCTTCTAACGGGTTTTATGTAGTCGGCTATTGTTACGCGACGTAACACCAATCACATTGCCATTTTGTTAGCACCATTTTGTTTGCTTACTATTTCTCATATTACATGTTCACCCCTCCTCTTACAATATCAAGTCAGATTAGTGACAAAAATTTTTAACCGAATTTGACAAATCTAAATGTTGTTTATTTTTCATATCAACGAAATATTACTTGTTTATCATTAATCTTTAACCTTCAGAACAAACCTAGACACAGGGCATCAAATTCTTTTTTTCCGGTTAAATTAGGAACGATAAAGTAGTTCTATCAAGCACAATTGTGAAAGAAATTATAGAATAAAGAGTTAATCGTGTCAGAGGTCCGGTAGTTCCAGTGTAAATGATTCATATTGTCGATGGAGGATTATCACGTTGACTACTATGGTGGTCATCGATAACCAGAGAAAACTACTACAAGAAGAAAACTGATATCGAATTAAACGTTTAGTAACATGAGTAACTAAATAATATGAATTATATTAATATGTAAAATACTAAATTCTCATGGCGATTAACATGTTAATATACGTGTAATTACATGTAACACGTGTTTCCGGGTACACGTAAAAAACCGAGACCTCTAGCTGAAATCTGGGACGCCCTGTATTGTAGGGACATCTCTTAATGGCTAGGCTGAAGAATGTGAGTTTAATTGGTCAGTTTTTTTATAATGCTAATTTGCTATTCGTCAATAGGGTGTGCGTAACCAGTCGAAACTATAAAAATAACTATAAACAGCGAAGCACGCTTTTGCTCTTGTGCCGCCCTACTAAACATCAAGTCATCTCCCAACTGTATATCGCCACGAAGTCCGGGAAGCGAGTAAAATAAAGTCC